TCCCCCCCCCCCCCCAAACTGATTCACGCCACGAACCAGCAGCAGCTTCGACCGAAATTCCGCTTGAGTTCCGGAGCCAACGCGTGAGACACAAGGAGTACAAGCGGCGGGGCCCTCCTTTGAGCAGCCGTTTCGACGAGGCGGACATCGGCGACACGCGCGCTTCGCTGTCGGCAAGGTTTTTCGAGGCTGCCGACGAACCCACATCGGCATCACCGCCGCCGCCGCCGCCGCCGCCGCCCCCCGCCGCAGGGGCCACGCGAGCGAACTTCCCGGAGCGGCGGAACAAGGTAAAGGAGGGAATTCCGAAGAAGGCAACGGAGGCGTCGCCCGAAAGGGGCGGCCGAGTGGCAGAGTCCGCGATAACCGGCGCGGGGAGGACGAGGGGGGAGGGGGGAGCTAGACTAACCGCAGAGGCGGAGGAAGCCACCTCCGAAGGCACAGCGGCGACAGCAGCGACAGCGGCGGCGGCGGGAGCCGAGTCATCTGCCGGCACCGCTCACGCCGGAGAAGCTTCTGCCGCCGCCGGAGGCTGCGGTACCGCGGCTGACGACACCGCGGCTCCGACTTCCGCTGGGAAGCGCAAGGTGGGGGCGGAGAGCGGAGAAGAGCGGAGGGAGGGAGAGTCGCCACACAAGGCCGCGGCTGCCGGCAGCGGCGGCGGTGCCTCCAGGGAAGGTCGGAGGTCGATCGCCGAGGATTGTTCACACTCGAGGGTGGACACGGGGGGCACGACGGCTGCGGCTGGGGCGGAATTGAAGCAGGAGGTTAACGCGGACGGGAAAGGGGAGAAGGAGGGCACGCAGGAAGGCAACAGCGGAGAGGGTAGGGGGGGGGCGTCAAAGGTGGAGCCGACGGTGACAGAGGGAAAAGAGCCCCGACAAGTTTGATTGTTGGCTCATTTTGACAAAAGGGGGGGGATATTTAGAGTGGGGTTAACGAGAACGAGGAGGAGAAGAGGTGGGGGGGTGGAGGGGTCGGTGAAGGCACACGAACTCAGCAAAGCCGTAGGCATTTCGGTCCAAAGTTGAGGAATCGAGCGGGAGGGAGTGAGTAGCAGGCAGCGGGCGCTGGAGTATTTATCTGTATTTTCAGAGGGTTTAAGCCCCCGCGGGAGAAGAAAAGGGAGGGCAGGGGCGGGGCCCCGGCGGGGGAGGCGGATATCACGAAGAGCCGATAGCAGCTCCCCACCAGGAGCAGCGGCAGCAGCGGCAGCAGCGGCAGCAGCAGCAGCAGCGGCTGCCGTCGAAGCTGCGATAGGCAGAACAAAGCCGGAGCAAGAGTGAGCACGCTGGCAGCAAGGGAGCTCTCGAGCCCAAACCATCAGCAAAACGCAGGCGACGACTTCCTCCACACCCTCTCCAATGCTGGCGGCGGTTGCCGAGACCGACGAGGCCGTCGGCTCGGACGACGCAGGCCGGCCTCCTTCGCCGTATGGGATTTCGCTGGGGCTGGCCGGCGCACCGCGAGCCACCCCGGACTACGCCCGGAAGACCTGGAAGGCTTACCACGAGCGGCAAGCGCTGTTGGCGGGGCGGCGGCAGTACTCGAGGCCCGTGGAGGTGGATCCCGTTGTGTGGGGGGACCTGATAGGGAGGAAGCTCGCCGAGCTGATCGAGGGGGAGAGGAACCACCCGCGCAGCGTGGTCCGGGGCGGGGCAGCGGATAGGGACGGGGGGCACTGCCTGCTGCCAGGTGTGGCGGATGTGTCTTGGTCTGCCTTGTGTGTGTGTTGTTCGAGTGGTGGTGGCGTGCGTAATCGTCGCCGCCCCGACGTGCCCTGAGATCCCTGCCCAATCAGAGGAAGCCAACTACTAGGTACTTTGTTGCGCGCGTGTGCATTGAGTTAGTTTGGGTTCAGCTTTGCGCACCCGAAGGGTTGTTGCCCATGCCTTCGTCCAGCGTAGGGTCGGTTGGCCCTCCAGGACAATATCGCCGCCGGGGGGTGCCGACTTACGATATGCCAGGTGGTTGTGAGGCGTCTTTGAACGCGCAACCAAAGTGCGCCATTTTCGTTGTTGCAGCGGGCGTTGTTTCATTGTTGTTGCTGGTCGTTGTTGCCGGCTGTTCGGTTTTAGCCTTCTTTTGCCTGACGGGCGGGTGTTGACAAGGACCTGGCCGTTTCTGGTTCGTTTTATCGTGAACTGGACAGCTTACCAGAGAAGTCTGTTCGCGGTAAAACCATGCAAAAATGTGCAATGTCTCCGTGCACGCTCGGTGTGGATAACCGCGTATTCGAAAGCGGACGCACACCACAGCCGGCGGTTGCATCTCATATCCGAGTTTGTTACTCTCCCCCCCGAACCTACATTGTTGTTTTCAGAGCTGGATGACATTCGCTTGCACAGCGGGCATGAGCAGGCCGTGGCGGCGGCGGTGTGCAAGCCTAAGTTTCTCCGCTTTTCTGCGGAAGGTTCCGAGTATACGGCCGACGACTTTGGCGCTGGTGGGGGCTTCGACGAGATGTACCAAAGGTAAGAGAGGAGGCGAGACACAGGAGAGGGCGGGGAGTACCCTTCCCCTCCTCTTCTTTTGGCTGACGTGAGGTTGTTGGTCTATGGGGTAGACTATCCCCACGGCCACTGTATAGGTTTTCGTGTGACTATCGATTTTTATGTAGGCCTCTCGACGGAGCACCTGTTCTTATGGCTAAGTTCTTCGACTTGGGGATTTTTGTTAGGCTCCACTCCTTTCCTGTTAAGTTCTCAAGTGGTGCCGCGTCTATGGTGGTGCGGTGACACACTTGAATCGAAGGGGCACGGCATCCGTCCTCTGGATGGGAGGTGTGCGAGGCCTGCCCCCAACAAAGGACTTACTGGTTGAATTAAGCGGTTGGGGCTTTCCACGCCCTTGTGTCCCATATGTCGGCCCCACGCTCCGATGCTGTTTACATGTTTAGTTGTGTCCAGTCCACAAACGTATCTCTGCCCTCCCTGCGATTTGGGCCGTCCATGGAGATATGGGTTTTATCACGCTCGACGGTCTTCCTGGGTTGGTTGTGGTTGTTTTGCGCCAGTTCCTACTGTGGTTGTGCGTGTATTCTCTATCTCTCCCCCTGTTTCGCGCGGATTACTTGTCCCCCCTTGTTTTTCAGACGGTACGGTACGCCGTTTTTTTTCTTCTCTTAATCCCCTCGTTGTTTCCCGCGGATTACTTGCCCTTCTTTTCCTTCAGACTGTTACGACGTTTTCTTTCTCTTATCTCCCTCCTCGTCTGTTTCCCGCGGTTTACATGCCCGATTGTTTTCTACTTCGCATGTTGTTTTTAGACGGTACGCCAGGTTCAGCGCTCTGATCAAACAAGTCGGGGGCCTCGCGGCCAAAAGAGCGAGGACGAGAGCGGGGTACCCCGACGACCAGGTGGAGAGCCATCGCGAAAGCAGGTCGAGCGTGAGTATTTGTAGTCAAGTCGTGGCCTTGCAGGCGTGGAATTCGTGTGTTGTTTGAAAAGCTAGCGCGATTTATTTTCCCGTTGTTTTTGCTTATTGGTTAGTGTGCGTGGTTGTCTGCCCCTCCGTTGATGTCTACCACCGAGCTCACGGTACTGGGCGGCTTATAGACTCGTAGACAGGGTCTGTGCATGGGAAGTGAGAAATGCTTTGGTTGAGTTTAAGGATGGGAAAAGGTGGTGCTTGGGGAAGGAAAATACAACAGGTGGTCGGTGCCGGTGTACTAATGGAGCGGTTTTCGGAGAGGCGCGAACCAGAGGGTGGCGCTTATAATACTGTTGATGTTTGTTTAATGTTTTGTGGTCGTTTGTGGAATGCAGCACTTGTCACCGCACACAAGGATAGCCTGATGCTTGCTTGATGCGTGCCTAGGTCATTCCGTGTGCACGGTGGCTTTGGAGAGCGTCCCAGACATACACGCATGGACATACCCCGGGGGGCACCGCAGTATCGCACCACGCCCTCCTATGTACCCTAACAGCGCTAGCTGAAATGGTCTCTATTGCAAGACGCACGTGCGTTGGCAGGATATCGACCGCGCACTACGAAAAACAAAAAGCCCAGTTTCCAGCCGGTTTCCCTCCGCAAGACTTGAGCGCATCCCTTTCGACTGTGGTTGTTCCTCGAACGGATAGTCTTTCTGTGTTATATGTTTGTCGATTTTCATAAACATTACTTAGTTGTTGCCGCCGCCTGCCTGCCTGCATTCCTGCCTGCCTGTAGGAGAAGACCAGCCGCGAAGCCGAAGCTATCCCTTGGGAATTGGGCGCAGCACGAGCGGCTGCCCCGTCCACCGCGGCGGCGGCCCCAGGCGGCGGTGACGGAGACGACGGCGGCGGCGGTGGTGGAAGTGGCGGCCCAGGCGGCACGATCGGCGGCAGCGAGTTCGGGGATGACCTCTTCGCGGGGGACGCCGCGGCGGTACTACAGCGTTCTGCTGAACAGCAGGAGAATAAAAAGTGAGTGGGTTGGTGTCATTTTTTCACGCCGCCATGGGCAGCGCAGCATGCACGAGACGTATACATACAACAACAGCAGCTTCCAAGTGCGTCTTGTTCTCTTTTTTGTATCCCTCTCGAACGTGCTGACCTCAAAGCCACCTCCACCAGTTGTAGGAGGCATCTCATTCATTGCTTCTTGTTCAATATCCCTCTATCACGTCCCGACCTCAAAGCCACCACTCGCTACCGCCACCGTAGCCGCCTCCGGATGCACACACCAGCAGTTTTTAGAGTGCATCTCCTTTTTTTTCAGTATCCCTCTCACGTGCTGACGTCAAAGCCACCACCTTACGTGTGCCGCTGCCCTCTGCAACAACTCGAGTGTTCGATGCTGCAGCGACGGACAACTCCCGGATGCTGATCTGAAGGCGCATCCGATTCCTCACATAGGCCCCGACTCCCACCGCTTGCTCCCGGACGAAGTGGAAGCGGTGCTCAGGGGGCACGCAGAGGAGAGCGTGGACGGGTACGACGCTTCTTTCGCCGCACAGATGCAGCACAGGTTAAGAAGCCTCCGCTCTTCCAAACGCGGGGTTTGGTTTTGTATGTGGGGGTAGGTTGCATGTCGTGCTGGTGATTGGTGTCGTGTGTCTTGTGGGGGGTTAGGGTGGTCGTGGCGGTGACTGATGATGGCAGGCATGTGTGTTTTCTTTCGCGGGCCACGCGGGCGCGGTGTTGTGTGGTGGGTATGCAATGCACCGAAGGACATTGTGCGGTATCGGTGGTACGTTCGGGGAAGAGCTGGGTGTAACGGGCTCGGAGTGCCCGGCATGCGAACCAACCCGTCAGCGTCACGTGCCCCTTGTGGTGAGCTAATGTGAGAAAGGAAGCCAAAGGGAGCGTCCAAAAACTGGCGTGTGTGCGCTACTTGCAGTCTGTCCCTCTCACACCGGAACGATTGGCCATCGGTGATCTATCCCGTGGGGGAACAATCCTCCGTCCTCTCGAGGACGCGCGGTCAAACGTCTTTCACATGCAAGACATAAGAGTACGCCCCCCTCCCCCCCCCCTATCCACTGCGCGGAACGCCTCTAACAGGTTGGTGTCGGTTGGGGGGGGCGCCGAGGGGATGAAAAAGCTTCGGGGAACCGCTGCCCGAGAACGGCGGGAGCGTGCTCGACCTGGACTGAAGGACCGATATCTGGAAGAGGCCGTGCGCAGGCAAGAGCGCCGTAGCCATATAGCACCGGCCAAGGTGGAAAGATGGAGGTAGCGCACGCGTGTGGTTGCTCTTAACGTTGAGCCTGTAACTTGAATTGTTTCCACACAAAATATATGGACATATATATATCCCGTCGTCATCACTAGCACCGCTGGGTGCGGCGTGGTCCTTCGGAGCACGTCTTTGCGTGTTTTTCTTTGGGGGGGGAGTTGGACAAAGTAGGAGTAGCGTGTGCGGGGGGCGGACGGTGCGATCGTTCGCTTATCCTCATCCCCGTGGAAGACCAACCGCGTGCGCCTATTGCCGGTGTGCTAGACCAAGACCGCCGTGAACGCTGATGCTTGGCTGGCTCGGTGTATCTGCTGCCGGTGTTTCCCCGTTTGTACTTGTGATTTTTGCATGTAACACTCGAGTTTTATGACAAGACCAACCGACCACGTTGTATTGCCAGCATCACCACAGTAGTCTTCTGTGTGCGTGGTGGGTGCCAATACTCACGCGAAGGCAAAGTATGACACAAACGTGCGACGAGGAACTCGTTTCGATGGGGGAAAAAACAGCATCTGCCTAGAGACAGCCGGGAAAAAACTTCCACCTCTGTCCTCGTCTTCCGATACCTCTGATAACATGGAGGCTAACCTTACAATGTTCGAAACCGCGCGCCGTCATTCCATGTGTCAGGAACCACCGCGCCGCCTCCGACGACTATGACGACGAAGACGACGACCAGAACGCCAGCACCTCCTGCTCCGTCGCCACGTTCGAAGACTTCTACCTTAAGTCGACCCAGGCCGCGGACGCTCTGCCCGTCGTAGAGGGGAGGATGAACGCGGAAGAGACTAAGGGTGCCTCGATGGAGGCACCGCCACCGCTGGCAAAAGTTGAGGAGGCGACGATCCGGAAGCAGCAGAGGCGAGAGGAACGGCGAGCCGAGCGCGTGGCGAGGTTGGAGCTCAAGCGGGAGCAAGCCAGGAGGTACGCACGCAATGCGCGTACCGTGTATGTTCCGTTGGTGCAGAGGTTGTTGGGGGGGGGGGGGGGGGGG